GGAATGCCTTCTTGATGTTCACCCTGGATGACAGCAGCTCCAAACTGATGTGCCGAGACCGCAAACACTCCTCTTTCAGCATGGAGTTGTAGCCCTCGCACTCCTGGGTGATGCACAGCACCGCCCTCTTCAATAATCTCAAGAGAGACCACAGACGAGACGAGCAAGTGCCCCTACCAGCAGCTTCTTCCAAACACGCCTTATAAAGATAAACGACTTTCCTCGCATTGACTTCCAATAGAAGGTCAGCGCCTGGAGCTAGCATCTCCCGCGCGACCTCCCTCCGAAGCGGACAGTCTGTGGATGGCATCGATTTGCCCAGCAAGAACAAGCGGTATGGATATCGAAGAACGGGTTCTTCCACTCGCCTGTGAAACCCAGCTGCGTTCTGAAGAACAACTGCCCAATGTAACTCAGTCAGGCGCTTCTGCATTAGTTTGTCCTGGGTCGAGGCCAGCAGATCGATGGCGTCGGAGTCCTCCATGGCATCATCGATTTCCTTCATGAACTGAGTTGCTCTTCCCGTAGCCAGCCATGCAAGTTGCTTCCCATGATCGTCTAATTCCTGCTCACTGTACACTGACCGCATGAAATTGTAAAAATGTTGAAGTGGTCGCAATGAAATCTGGTTCAGCTTGAGTAGTTTCCAAAACAAGGGCTCCTTCAATACTTCACACACGTCTCGCCTCCACTTGCCCATCTTTTGGCGGTGGGCGGCTTGCTCTTCGATCGCGACTTCGTTAAACTCCAAGCCTTTGTTGGGGTCATCGGTGATTGGCAAAGCTCCGTCTTGCTCATGTCTCGTCCTCTTGGTAAGGACTGCAACGAGCACCGTCACCAAGTGGTCCCCGCCCTCCAAGACCCTGTCGATGCAGTCGCCGACTGCGCCCCACCTGCCAGACAGGCACCTCGGCGGAGTTTTCTTCGCGCGCCGCATGGCGTCTGCATCTCCATACTGAGCCCTCCACTCCTTGAAAACATCTTTGGCGACTTCGCGCCAGCACAACATAATCTTTGCCAAGGAACCGTAGAACCTCCACTTGATCCCCCAGGATTTCACATGAGTGTCAACGAGGGTGAGCTGCTTGCAAACCAAAAGCGAATAAGCGTGCGCGAAACAGTCAGTGTCGAAGAACAGGATCCTCGGCACTGCACTGCAAAGGTGCCTGAGCTGCCGACGTGCTTTTTTCTGGTCAGACCCGCCGTCCGAAGTGTAGGATATGATAAAGAGCGCATTGGTGTTTGGATGGTCTGCCAGCCACGTTTGAAATTCTCCCCATAGCGGGCATCCGACACTAGCAAGCTGCTTTTTTACCAATGCCAATGTTCCACCTGCAGTTGAATTTTCCACTGGCTGGCAATCTGCCCACCGCGTCATCTCGGAATACCCATCTGCCCACGAGCATAAGGGATCATCGTCAATCAAGTGCGGATCTGTTGCCACCAGCGTTTGCACCTTCATGCCTTGAAGTTTCCTGCGTTGCCAGATGGGGCTGTTGGTAGCGTCGCACATGAAGGAGACCACTGCCACGTCCAGCGGCGGACCGCCCACGTAAGGCGACTCCGCCCACTCCTGCAACATCGTGGAGTGAAAGTTCCTAGACGCCGCGAGCAACGCAGCCCACGTGTCGACCTCGCACCGAGACACTGTGGGGCCCGATATGTCGACGCGCTGCGAAACTCCATACGTCCACCCAGCTACATTGGCAGCGTTGCGCAATATACCGACTGCGAACCGACTGTGTGCGAGGAGCCGTTTGCCACCCTTGTGCTTCAACACGCTCAGTCTGTCTGGTGTCTCCAATTCTTCCACTTTTGCTTCAAGCTTGGCTATGCGTTCCTTCTGCCGCCTGACTTGCTGTGCTAAGTTTTTCAGTTTCTGTGCTCGCTTAGCCTTCCGATCCCGCGGGTTGGCCCTAGCTCGCAGCCTGGCGGGCCTGCGCGGCTGGGGCAGCCCAGCGGGTTGGGCTGAGACAACAGCAGTGGGCGGCTCATCATCCGATATCTCCATCGCAACTGCTTCATCATGGACCCGCTGAACTAAGAAACCTCGCACATGGTTAACTATCGAAGCCCACTCCTCTCCTGAAATATTATACCCCATCTGGCGCACGAGCAAGACGAACACGACTTGGACATCATAGAAAGCAGCGGGTTCCACGGCGCCTCCCCTGGTCATCCTGGCCCAGGCTGCCTGACGCACCCTGTCGGCAGGCACGCATTGGCCAACTAGGCGGCGGAGGGAGTCCCCCTCGATCACCACGCAACCTGACCGAAGCCGACATGTATGCTCCAAGTACAGTTGGGATCTGCGCTGGATCGAACTTGGATGAAACATCATTGAGCCAAAATGGCTACAGTGCTGCTGTTGTTGGTGTTGGTGCTGCTGTTGCTGCTACTGTTGATGGTGCCAGCATTGTTGTGCTGCTGCTGTTACCGTGCTGGTGTTGGCGTGTTTGGCGTTGGTGTTGTTAACGCGATTGTTGTTGTTGCTGTTGTTGTTGCTGGTGTTGTTGCTGTTGTTGTTGTTGCTGCTGTTGTTGTTGTGTATGTGCTGTTGTTGTTTTTGTTGGCGGTGCTGTTGTTGTTTGTGGTGCTGTTGTTGTCGTAGTTATTGATGTTGCTGTTGTTGTTGGTGCTGGTATTGTTGTTGTTGTCGTTGTTGGTGTTTTGATTGTTGGTTTTATTGCTGGTATTGCGGTGCTTATTGGTGTTGGCGATGTGCGTCATCGGTGATGTTGTTGTTGTTGATGTTATTGTTGGCGTTGTTGCCATTGTTGCTACCTGTTCTAGGTGGCCAACTGTCAACTGTCACCCTGATGTTGATGATGGCGATGCTGAGTGGGGACGCGGGAGAGGACGCACGTCTGCGAGGGGGATGGGGCCGAGACGGACGAGGACGATAGAAAAAGATAGAAGGATCCCTTCTAGCTGTTTCTCGCGTCCTCGTCCTCCTGGTCCTCCTTCAGTCAGAAGGAGTCCTCTCAGAAGGAGGGGGCATATTCAACACCAGTCTTTGCAATCGCCCCCGATCGCAAGACGCGAAACTCACACGTCGAGAGCAAAGCGGCTGCAGCCGCGACCTGTAAAATGTAAACTCGTGGCCACACAGCGGCACGTGCGGTAGATGCCTAGATACTATTGCCATGTTGCCGTGGGCTCTGACCGCCAGAGTCGGACCAGAGTCGATCGCATCGGTCGCATCGGTCGGCAGTCGTCGTCATCGTCGTCTTCGGAGTTGGAGTCGTCGTCGGAGTCGTCGTGGTCGTCGTCGGAGTCGGAGTCGGAGTAGACGTCTTCGATCGAACGTCCGACCGAATCGCCGAATGGCCGAGTCGGAGTAGACAGGCACAGGGCAAGCGGAAAATGGCGGCAATTGCGGCAACGGCGGCGCCTCTGAGAACCTCTCAAGCCGAACCCACGTCGGTCATGTCGGAGTTGGAATCGTCGCTCTCGAAGGAGTCGGAGTCCGAGATGTCCGAGGCCGAATCCTTGTCGACGTCGAACTTTGGGTCCTCGCTCGGAGGGGGGGGGAGGGCTGATCCTCGTCGTCCTCACCCTCCCCTGGAGTCTCCTCACCCTCGTCCTCCTCGTCTCCTGGAGTCCTTGTTCTCACACCCCCGCCCTCGTCCTCCGTCATCGCGGCGATGGCGGAGGACGGGGGCGAGGACGAGGATGAGGAACATAAAGATCAGTCGTTGGGTCGACTGATCTTTATTTTTCTCGTTGACCCCCTCTCCGACACCCTTGTTTAGGACACGTGTCCTGGAATGATGCTGCAGCTGCTGCAGACTCGGGCTCGGGCGGCTTGATGGCGACGGGCGGGCCGCCGCGGCTGCCGCTGCCCGGCTTGCCCGAGCTCGGACGGGGAAGCCACCACACATCTGGGAACTCGGGCTTCGACTTCGGCGTCTTGTGCAGCACCCCGCCAGGCATGTTGGGCATGACGATCTTCTTGACCTTGAACGTCGACTTCTTGTCGACGGGGACGTACTCCATCTGCTTCTCGATGAGCTTGAGGAGCCTGTCGTTCTGCTTGTCGAGGCGAGCAGCCGTCGCCTTCCAGCAGTCGCGCTCCATACGGCAACGGGCCATGGCTTGGCGATGCTTCTCCTTCAGCTCGTCGCGGCCCATAGCGCACTTCGGCATAATGGGCTGCCTGGAATCTGGAAGAAACCAGGAAGGAAAAAGGGAGAAGGCAGCCGACTCCCTCGGGCACAAACGGCTGTGGACCGACGACGGTATTTCAAGGGTACGTCTGGTGCTAGGTAGACAGACGACCGCCGACCCCATCGGGGCCACGAGGCGAGTGAGATCGTCGGCTCCCCGCTGAACCCGAGTGCGCCGTCCTATGGCTGCACGGCGACATATCAAAACTTGTTCTAACACCGAGAGAGCAAACCACAGTCGACGTATTTTGGCATGTGCTTTGTTGTTTTCTTAAGAATATAAAGAAAATATAGAACAAACAAATCATATGATGATGCAAGTTTAAACGTTTTCCTTAAAGAGCAAGGAAAATACACATAAATAACAAAAAAACGCCCAGACACTTAGAGGAACACATACTAACTAGAATTCTGAACTCTTGAAGCTGTTCCAAGTTAGCGGCTCAGCTCACCTATCTGCTCTAGGCGCAAGCAGCATGGAGTGAAGCTCTTGGGACAACCTCACAACGTACTTTTGCCTCGCGCCAACAAGGCTTATGTTGATTCACAGGCCACGGCGCCCTCTCGAGAACGGAAAACGGACAATTCACTGATGGACGTGTCACTGTTGGGGGTTCTGTCCACCCCCGATTCTTCCTGGGGAGGCCAGGAGGAGAATGCACCGATACCGCTGCTCCCCATGACTTCTCCTGAGGTGCGTTCCGACCAGAACTTCGGGGCGAATCCAGCGGTGGCGACGAGGGCCTCCCAGGTGGCCCAACAGGGGGAACGCGAGGCAAGGCTAGCCGTATGGGTACCTGTGCCTCCTCCGACCTTCTCCCTCCCGAGCTCCCTCAGCTGCCGCTGCTGCTGCTGGATGTCGCCGACGACCTCGCCGAGGGCGTGCAAGAACGACTGGACGATTTTGTCCCGCTCCTGCGGGGGAACCCTCGGCACCGCGCGGCACTGGCGGAGCTGGCTCCGGCTGCAGCCCTGGGCCTCGCTCTCGGATCGGCGCTCGGCTCCCGACCTGCAGAACGGCGCTCTCGCCCCAGCGAGGGCCACTTTTCTGGACCCGAGTCCTCGATCATTGCCCTCATTTCCCATCCTCCGCCTTCCCCTTTGTCCCCCTGCTCCTCCCGCTCCTTCTTTTCCAACTCCTGCTGCTGCCGTTCGTCCTCGCCCTGCTTCTTCCTGATCCTCCTGCTCCTCCTGTTCACTCTTCTGATCACCCGAAACCTCCAACTCGAATGTACGCAATACCTTTTTTTCCGATTGCGCATGAGACGATGACACGCGTCGGAAATAAAAAACAGCGCAATGGGAAGGGATGGCTGTGAGGGGTGGGAAGTCAGACATGGCGCGAGCGCACCTAGCTTGACCTCCCCCCCCTCTCCTCCCCTCCCCCCCCCACTTCCCCTCCCTCTCGCCCTCTCCTCCTGCTGCTTCTCCTCCTCCTCCTCCTCCTCCTCGTCCTCCTCCTCGTCCTCGTCCTCGTCCTCCTCCCCCTCCCCCTGCTCCTCCTCCTCCTCCTCCTTCTCCTCCTCCTCCTAGCTCCCCCTCCTCCTCCTGCGCCTCCTCCTCCTGCTCCTCCTGCTCCTCCTGCTCATCCTGCTCCTCCTGCTCCTCCTCCTCCTTTTCCTCCTCCTGCTCCTCCTCCTTCTCCTCATGCTCCTCCTCCTCCTCCTCCTCCTTTTCCTCCTCCTCCTCGTCTTGCTTCTCCTCTTCCTTCTCCTCCTCCTCCTCCTCCTCCTCCTCCTCCTCCTCTTATGTTTGTTATTCGTTGTATGCTTCTTAATCGTTGTATTATTAGTATTATTAGCATTCGTATTGTTATTAATAGTAGTATTCGTATTATGCGTCTCCTTTATTATTCGTCTGATTCTTATTCGTGTTAGAATTATGCTTCGTTGTTATGCTTAGTCTTATTCTTCGTCTTAGTATGACGATTATCATTGTTGTTCTTAGTATTATTAGTATGCGTCTGCTGCTTATTCATGATATGGTTATGTTTCTGCTTCTGCTTCGTCTTCTTCTTCTTCCTCCTCCTGCTCCTCCTCCTCCTGCTCCTCCTCCTCATCCTCCTCCTGCTCCTCCTCCTCCTCCTCCTCCTCCTCCTCCTCCTCCTCCTCCTCCTCCTCCTCCTCCTCCTCCTCCTCCTCCTCCCCCCCCCCATCACCCTCCCCCCCCCCTCCTTCCTCGGGAAGGGGGAGCGGGCAGCTGAGCGCTGCTGGCGGTGCTCGCTTCCCCGGCCCTGCAGGAGCTCCCCGGCCGTGCAGAGCGAGATGCTGATGGGCTCCGGCAGGGTGTACTCCCGCAGGAAGCCCAGCAGCCTCAACCACTCGAACGTCTTTTCCCCGAGGTAGAGCACCTCCACGGCGAAGAGCACGCCCATCTGCGTGTCCCGCTGGACGCAGAACCTCGAGACCAGGTCGCACTCCTGTGGCCTCCGGGAGATCGGAAGCCGGCACACTCGGACGCAGCCCTGGGCGAGGATACACATCGGGTGAGGACACATCGAGCATCTCTGAGATCTGGCGGCTCTGGAAGAAGTCTCGGGCGCCGCGGCCTTCTCAGATCGGGCGTTCACTCATGGGGGGGGGCGATGGATGGGGGGGTAAGAAAGGTGCACCCTTCGTGCACCTTTCGTAATTACCCCTTCGGGGCCCTAGGGGGCTCGTTTAGGGCCCGTTTAGGGCCCCTTTCGTGCAACCCTCGACGCCCCCCCATTTATCGCCCCCACCGTTTCCGAACGCCCAATCAGAACGCTCTAGGAACGTTCATGAACTCTCGGGAGCGGATTCATCCTCGGCCTGAAGAGGCCTCCTAGATGGGGTCGGAATAGATGGGGTTGGAGGATCGCGCCGCATCGCCGATACATCGGCGATGCATCGGCGATGCATCGGCGATGCACCCGCGATGCACCGGCAATGCACCGGCGACGTGGGCGATGCATCGGCGACGTCGACGAGGCATCGGCGCCATCGGCGTGGAGAAAATCGGGCTCCGCATCGAGCCGCATCTGCGATGCATCGGTGATGCGGCGCGGCCCTCCGCCCCACCTGCTCCGACTCCTTCTAGGAGGCCTAGACCCTAGCCTTAGGGCGGGCATGTCCTCCCACAGGCGGATTTTGTAAGAAAGAAAACAGTGATAACATACAAACAATACTATATCACAACGAATCCGCAAATCGTCCCGAGACCAGCTTCGATATTCTTGAATCTTCCTCTGCAGCAGAATGACATGCCCGCCTAAATCCTGGCCCCGTCAGGCCCGCGCACAAACTCTCGGAGGTCCGCGCGGCCTTGTCGCGTCGGCGCCGGGTCGCTCCCTCCAGTGGGGCGGCGCCGGAGCTGCCACCGGAGGGGGGGGGGGCGGCGCCGCCCCGAGAAGCTCGCGCGGACCTCCGAAAGCTCCCCAAACCAAGATGAATAGACAATCTCAAGGCAACGCAGCAGAAGTCTGCGCACTCGTTGTTTGATCAGCTCCCCTGGCATCCGCCGGCGTGACTTCCGTCCATGCGCGGCCGCAGGAGTCGGAGGGCACAGGCGAACCCCACCCCAGCTCCCCAGGATCTCCGAGGGGGGCGGCGCGCAGAAGGGGGGGGGGGGGGCAGGAGGAGGGGGGGAGGGCTTCTTGGGAGGGCGCCGCGCCTCAGAGGGCGCGGGCCTCACATCCACAGATCTGCAGACGAGGCCCAGCCCACCCACCGCGGGCAATACTTTTGTCCACATCCACTGCAGCTTGGAGTTTCGGGCTCCCTTCCCTCCTCCTCCTCCTCCTCCTTCTCCTCCTCCTCCGCCTCCTCCTCCCTCCTCCCTCCCTCACTCCCTTGTTTTCCGACTCGGGCAGCAGGTCACCAACAAGCGAAGGTCGGCCCAGCCAAAGGTCAGGGGCAGCACAGGCCCCTACATGATGGGGGCGCGGGGCCGGGCCACAAGGGCCCTCGCTCGTTTTCAGGCAGCACGGGAGGGGCGCACCAGGGCAAGGGCCACGCACCGACAGGTGCGCCGTCCTTCGACCAGGTGGCTGCATGGGCAGCGGAATACGGCCTGCTCCCCGCGCCCCCAGGAGATCATGCGGTCCAAGAGGCTGGGATCTCCAGCAAGGAGCGCAAGAAGCGAGAGAAGGACGACGCTCGTAGAGCTCGCGAGTACCAGCGCAGAGACGGGGAGCAGCATCCACTGAAGGCTCCTGGCACCCCACACGGGGCCAAGGACACAGGCATCATAGGGCAGTCTCCCCAGTCACTGCCTTCCCCTTTTGCGCCTCCTCAAGACGGCGTGGCCACTCCCCCTACACTCTTCGGCCCAACCTCTGTACAGCAGTCTCCTTTCCTCGCGGCCGAACAGGCCCCCGCCTCGCTTGGAGCGCTGGATCCCGCCACTGAACTCTCGGAGGCGGAGCTCACAGCGCAGTGCCCTACCCTTACTCCAGACGAGGCGCACTCTCACTCAGCCTGGCTTTACCCCCCGCTTGAGCCTGACCGCCTGCTGGAGCACCGCAAGGCCCTTGCAATGAGCAAGGAGGCACTAATCCTGCAGCTTAGGGCCTCAACTCTCCTAGGACACTCCGATATGCGTATCACCGAGATCCGTAAGGAGATTTCACTAGTTAATTTTCAAGTGGCCAACGCGAGGGATCCGCTGGCCAAGATCAGCGAGCAAGAGCACGTGGTGGCCTCCCTGCAGGCCAATTGTGAGCAATTGGCAGCCAAACAAACGCAGGCGGAGGAGCACGTGCGCAACATTGCCCTGGCCCTTCAGACCGCACAAGCGGACCTCAGCCAGGCTGCCATGCTACTAGCTTATTTCAAGTCGCAAGCACCGCCAGTCGCCGCCATCACCGACTCGCTCATGATGGGGGACACGGCGGAGGAGACAGGTGCAGTACAGCGCACTGCAGCACTCTCTGCAACGCATACAGGTGAGGAGCAAGCCGACCCACATGACCTGGGAACGGCCACGCCCCTCACGGCAGCGCCGACCTCTCCCCCACTCCTCCACTGCCCAGCGCCCCTCCCAGGCATCCAAGGGTTGGAACAGCCTTACATCACATCACTCTCTGCGGCCATGCAAAGCAACGCCGAGGCCATGGCCAGGGAAGTTGCCACCATCAAAGCAAATTTTGACTCCCAGGCCCAAGCCATGCGCAACTCAGTAGACACCCTAGTCTCACAGATCAAGGCCGGGCAACTAGTGCCAGCCGCCGCCTCTAGCCACGGCGCTACGGTCCGGGGGGGGGCCACAGCGCCGTTAGGATGTGAACAGGCCCGCGCTTCCCCCAAAGCAGGCCCGCTATTCCGCCTAGGTTTCGTGCCCAAACCCGGGCCAGCGCCAGTGCCCAAGTCGCCGACAGGGGAGGCGATCACCACTGCGCCCTCGTTTCAAGATAGCTCAGCTAGGGAGGAAGCTATCAACCAGCAAAGCCCGGCAGCAGCTCCCGTAGAGGATCCCAGCGGCATGCCCCCGCCTACCCGCTCTGCCAGCCAGCTTGGGTGGGACCTCTCAGATGAAAAAGGCGAGCCAGTCTCCATGGCATCCCCCCGCCGCAGCGCAAACGCGCAGGCCAGGGGCAGATCCGCGCGTGCGGGCCAGGCCGAGCAGCGCGCGCTTTCAGGCATCAGCGAGGAAGATTTTGTAGCTAGGCAGGCAGCACGCAGCAAAAGCCCTCGTGGCTCACGTCGCCCCAGGCCCGAGACAGCCGAGGCTGAGCCAAAGGCACGCGCAGGGGCATCCGCCTCGTCTACCCCACGCAGCCCTGCAGATGCAATGGCAGAAGCAGAGGCTGCGGACCTCCGCGCTGAAGCCGAGGCCCACGCGGCACAAGCTGCTCAGGACGATTTAGCCCAGGCAGCGCGCGACGGCACGGTTTTCCAGGTCGCTCCCCCGGACACTGCCCACGGGTGAACCTGGGGGGGCGGCAAGGTATACGCCGCAGCCCACTTCCGCCCATGAGGTGGATGCTACCGGTGCTTACGGCTACCTCCATACAGTTGGTCAGGGACTTCGATGTTATTTTTCCAGCCCTCCACTCCTCCTCCATCCCCACCTGGCACAGCTTTGTCTTTGATACTCCCTACGCGGCTTTCGACTCCGCAGATATATATATATATATATATATATATATATATATATATACCGACGCCAGCGGAGGGGCCTCCAAAGGAGATCTCGCTGGCCCACCAGCGTGGGCTTTTCTGGTCTTTGCATGGCTTAACGGCACTAGACACTTTCTAGGCTTCCTAGGGTGTCCCACCCCGGAGACAATGGGAGCAGATAGAGTCTCCGCTAAAGCGGAATTCGATGCCGCCACTTGGGCGGCGCTATGGGCTCTACAGTCCCCCCTCCCTCCCGCCGTTCCTATCACCTTTCACTCAGACAACATGGATGTTGTCGCCACCGCCAAAGGCGGTACAGTGGCTGAGCCACTAATGGAGCATAGAAGCCGCCTCGACAGCCTGTGCAAGGTACTTGCCCTGAAACGCCGCTTTACATGGCAGCACGTGCACGGTCACCAAGCTGACCCGCTCAACGAAATGGTTGACACGGTCGCCAGACTTTACTCCCTCGCACTCCTACCTCCGCCAGTGCTCCCGCCCCTCATGAGCTTTCTCCAAGACAATGCGCACATTTTGGAATGGCTCTGGCTTGAGTGCCTGCCTCAGCAACAGCGTGCGCTTTGCCCGCCGAACCATCAAGTTAGTCTTAATCCTCCTCTCCCCCCGCGCACCTCGCTTGCTGATGTTTTTCCAGGTCTCTTCAAAGAGGCAGCCCCGATCGCAGACGCCACGGCATCATGCTGTCTCAGGCTAGCCTCAGCCAACATTATCTCTCTCACTCCTGCCTCGCGCATCTCCCAAAGAGCCAGGCTTACAGGCGCGGCCGTCAAAGGACGCCTCCACCAACTGGCCGCCGCTTTTCAACGCAACGGGCTCGACGTTATCGGTATGCAAGAGACGCGAGTCGCAGACACGGGCTCTGGCAAACGCCAGGTTCCCCCGTACGTAGTCTTTTTGTCAAAGTCTCAAGCTGGAACTCATGCCTGCGGCTGCGCGCTATGGGTCAACCTTGCCACGCCCGTTTTTTCCCAATGCCAAAGGCATTCCCACTTTCCCTATTAAGTCTCACAGCGTGCGTATTGTACACCAAGACCCGCGCATTATCGCGGCCGTCATCAGTCAGAACGGCCTACGTTTCAGCATCCTCGTGGCACATGCTCATCATTCAGGGCGTCCTCTCCACGAACAGGTCGTATGGTGGCAGCACCGTAGACATGTGCACGACCATATTTTAACGCAGCCTACTCCTACTCTTGTCCTAATGGACTCCAATGCTGCAGCGGGCACGCAAACATCAGCGGCCATTGGCCCACAACACGCGGAGCAAGTTAACACGGCTGGCTCCTTTTTCCATCGATTCTTACTTGCATCTAAGCTTTGGCTGC